CTCAATGTTTGATTACTTTTTACGTGACACAGTTCACGTAATAACAGTTACCTTTACCAATACTTAGAACTCATTCCACCTCCGAGGTTGGTATTTAAGGAATTGTACCAAAGCCGTCTATGCATGGAAGTCCATCAACCTTTCAAGAGACAATGTGATTGGTGAGTCGTCAAACCATTATAGTACCTGAAAATGTAACCAAAAGAACAATGGTATGAAGAAATGCACAGAGCCAATAGTTAGAATAGGTGTCAGGTTGGGGTTCAAAAGACTCCATAACCTGTCGGTTGGAGACATTGAAGAATATGGTAGCGAACCGACAGCAGTGGCGTTCTTTTTGTCGTTTCTTATCAGGTCAGTATGCAGAGTTAGATAGTGTGCTCCGTTAGTTGACTACAGAGGTTCACCCTCACCCTCCCCCCCCCCTCAAAATAGGTCCAATCCCTTTCCACCGTAAATTTTACCAATAACCTAGTATGCATTGAGAGTTTGGAAGCGATCAGTGAAGTTCGCTTCACTGTATTTCGCTGCACGATAAACACGAATGATATGCTCTATGCATGATCTGAGTTAAGACTAGGACAAACCGGATCAATAAACAGCTCCATCCTAGCCCACTTAGTCGACGCCGGACATCAAATAAATCTGGAAGTCGCCTTCAAAATTATTTATCGTGTTCCCCACACGGGTACAAGGGTGTTCAACTGCGCTTTCTAGCAACAGCCAAAGCAATCGGGATAAGAAATTTGACCCCTGAACTCTGCGCCCAAAAGCACTAGATCCAGTCACTCCAACTTCCATGACCCGTGATCGATCAAGCCCGAGTGTCCGCTGTCCAATCACCCTGAGACCTTAACTTAGGTAAACCAATCAAATGACAAATGACAACTGACCATGACAAACTCTTACCCATAATTGATGATTTGTCTAACTGTGTGATCTGTTTTCTACTGTTACCTATGTCATCTGTAGGCGGTTTGAGAAGGAATTATTGAAAACAATTTGTTTTCCCAAATTCTATTTGTTTTAAATGCTGTGATGGGTATTTGTAGACATGATCTGAGTAACAGAAACTTTTGTCAGCATCATTTTTCTTGCACAGGTTTCTATGTCTTCAATGAAGCTTCCTATTCAAACATAGGAAAAAACGCGAACTAGGAAACGAGTATTTTTCGGTAATCTCAGTTTCTGAAGATTGAAATTTGTAAAATTGGATTTCGTAACAGCATAATTTTTCAGGTTACATGTGTGTGATTTGGCTGATAGATAGGGTCGGCAGACTGCGTGATTTCTGGACAAAACCAAGTGTTGGATGAATAGGAACAGGAAAGAGAAATCTAAGGTGTAGGTTAAGGGCGAGATTAATTAATTTCGTTCTGGTCAAACAATCTTGCGAATGAATCAACATCTGAAGCGTTTGAAGCATCATGACAGATCGTTTTTGAGAACAAAGCGTTGCTCTGAACTGGCAACTAATCACCACCTTGCAGTTGCTAAATGGCACTGACGAGTAGCTTCCAATGGATCAGGAGCTAGCTGATATATGACTTTAGATGCATCTTCAGGTGCTTGATTGCTTTGCCGTGAGCTACTCCGAGATGATTTTTGTCGCATCGGCAGTTAAATACGATACAAATCCAGTCCCGTGATTTGAAATTTCCCATCCCATAATCCCTTGAGTGAAACCGGAAACGCTTCTTTTTTCGACCATACTGACGAGCACAGTGAGCTTTGCGAAACTTAATGCCGTGAACTTGCTTTCATCAAACCTAGATGAGATGACATTTTCATAAATCAATGAGTCAATTTAACTAATTTAGCTAATTTAACCTAATTTAACTAAACTTATCACTATTTCACTTATTGTTAGGTTGTCAAGTACCTGTTTAATTGTAGTTCTAATATTGGTATTTGTGCTTTCATACTCGAGAGGAAACACTCACCACACTTGATGTAATTTAGAAAACCTATCAGCCTTAATTTCATCATCAAAGTAAGAGACGTGGGGATCATTCGATTTGTTTAATTTAGGATATGGTAATGAATCATTTTTCACTGAAGCTAATGCGCCATCAAAGCGCGAAAAATCTGGGCTGTGAAATCATATGCATGAATACAACCTACCTCGTGTGCTCTAAAGGATGTATTAGGCATGTAATGTACAATCACAAACAGGGTGTCACGCTTAGGTTAAAATCCCATTTGAGTTCCAAATTATTTTCACTTTGAATTATATATCACTCCGATTTCAATCAGCTACTTGGATTTGTTTATCAATAATGTTATGGATTACTGCGGTGCCCGGTTGTATGAAGCACCTCCTATTCTCTCCATTTGTGATACTACCTTCCATTCATCCATCCCTTGTTACATACAGATTGAGAACTTGGAAGATCTGCTAAATGACAAAGACACCCAGCTGGCTGCCTCAAAAGCTCGCCTGACCCGAATCAGCACAGAAAGAGCTGGAGTTGAGGGTGTGCGAGCAGCTATGGAAGAATCGATGAAGGAACGAGAAATTCTGTCTGAACGGTAAGCATGTTTTTCTGATCGTTCTGAACCACTAAGGCACATAGTATTCACTTTAGGCAGTAATCTATGGGTACGGGGAACACTTTTATAACAATAGATTTGGTTTGTGGAATTCCGATATATATGTGAAGATTTTTTTCAAATTAGGTTTGCCCTCAACCAATCGGAATGACTTTGAACGGTAACCTAAAGATATGCAAACTAGTTTTCTACACATCCGGTATGATGAAAAACCAAAGAACTATTCGTCACAGTCACCAAGACTGCTGCTGCTTCTGAAACCAAACAATCTATAAATTATGGGACTCGCGGTGGTGAACCACGTGATGCCTGGATAGAACATCTGTACACATATAGCGTAACTACCTACTACAAACGGGTGGTGGAAATGCTACGTTCACAGCCTTCAAACTCAGAGACAGCGAGTTAAACCGCTCAATCAACACCACCACCATCATCATCATTATCCTGATCATCATAATCTTCTTCTTCATCATCATCATTGTCATCAAAGGTTTGATATTTCAACAACAAAACCAAACGATTAGCATAACTAAACATTGAATTCAAGATATCAATAGCACAAGAGAAAACCAGCACCCCAGGGCAAGTAACAAGAGTTAATCACTAAGCTCAAGTTACACACCAAGGCTGCCTTCACGTAGCTGGAAGCCTTTAGGTTATATAATTTTTTGGAGGTTATAAACTGGGCTATAAGGATACCAAATTATGAAACAAAATTTCGATTTGAGAATATGATCGTAAACCCAAAACATTCAAGTATCAAATTATTTTATAACGTATAACCCTATTTGAAGAAATCAACACAGGGTCGCTTAAACGATCCAGTTTTCCTGGAAAATCTCGAATACGTGAAAACTTTCTCACCTACGTACTATGAAGCTGTAGTTCGCAGTTTTGCATAGCTCGAAAGAAAATGCACATTATGCAGACAAGGATAAACTTCGAATTACTCTTTCATCAGCTGAAGTGATCAACTCTGAGCTCGAAAGACGTTGAGGGATAAATCAATTCAAAACTGGCCAAAAGGACACAAATCGTACCCGATCGCCTAATTCCTACTCTGTATATACTTCTTCGAAAAATTATCAACCGACAAGAAAATGCATGCACCCGCAAAGCTGTTATTTTAGTGGTCACCCATGCCTACACTAAGCACACGTTTCACCACACTCGCCACACCGATACTCTGTTACGATTAATAAAATTGTATTATTTTGAACGAGAGTGAGAGAGAGCATGACAGAACAATTGCCGACCATATTTCTATCGAGCTCTCAGCAAAAATTTGCCTTGGTTTTCCTCAAGCAATAACAAGAGAGTCGAACGGTACTAAAGGTTCCCTTACCACAGAAAAAGACAACTCTTACGGCATTTAACAATGGTTCGATAATGGAAATACTTTGCAGCAACAGGAACTTACCTGATTAGTTCACAACTAACCGTAACTGGGCGAAATATTATCAACAAATCTTCCCATAAATCAACATTTTCTCCAGAAATCCAACTGTCCACCTACTTTGTTTGCATTGTCATCCAATGACAACAACACCGGTTTCTGATAAAATCAGAGGAGAAAGGTCGTCCAATGAACTGGACGGTCGAACACATAATCTCATCTTGTATTTTACAAAACGACCCCAATTACTTGTTGCTATCGCTGACACACAGATAGCATCATAACTGATGAAACCGGGGTATGACCCTAACAGTACTTGTGACCCACCAGTAGGACGAGAGGAAATCTGTGTCAAACAATGAATGGTATTTTTAACTGAAATAGATGCGTACCGGATATGCTTACCTGGTGAGAGAAGACAACCGCAGGACCGGAAATAGGATCAATGGGAAATTCTCACCAGTATTTTCCCCGTACTACTATCTACTGAAGTGAGCACATGACGTTTGCTAAGGCCACTTTGCACCCACGGTCAAAGTAAATAAAATGTGATTAGTGTTTTTGATCACCTCAGTCGAACGGTTTAATCTATATTGCTTCGTCAAAGCTCAAAATGTTCTACTGGGTACAATGATAGCAACATTCCGTTGAACCGACTGAGCTGTGCGTCGACGATGACTCAATTGACCAGGACAACTCGATGAGGGTTATTTATGCATTTTCGGTCAGATTCAGTTTGTATCACTATGAAAATCAACTTCCCTGTTATTACTATGCCACACAAGTCTGTAGGCATAGGGATAGCGATACACGAAAACCACTTGGATACTGGGTTCACATTGGATAACCCAAACCATGCTATAACTCATAGGTAATAGTGAGTGGACTGACTCCGTCGATACAGGTCAGTCATTGGATATACTTTATTTGGACTTCTCCAAAGTATTTGATCGAGTAAATCACCAAATTCTACTGCAAAAACTCTACAACTACGGAGCAAGAGGTTTGGTTCTGCACTGGATTAAGGAGTTTCTTCGACAAAGAACCAGTTCGCGTTGGTGATTCATTATCTGAGCCTATCACCGCTGCCCGAGGGGTTCCCCGAGGATCCATACCGGAGCTTCGTCCTTTCGTTGCATTTATAAATGTCCTGTCAAATTTCCTTGGGCATATTATGTTGTTATTTACGGACGACGCTAAGATCTGGAGAACTGTTACACATCCTGAGGATTATATAGCACTTCAACAAACGATCGATTCAGCCCACCGATGGACAATCGCCAATGACTTCGAGCTCATTGTTTCCAAATGCAGAGTTATTTCCATGTGGCACAAGACTCGTTTCTTCTGTGTTCCGGGGAACCAAATACTATCGCATGCAACTAACGAAAGGGATTTGAGAGTTATGGTACAAGATGACGTAGGATGTTCCACGCACTGTGCTAGAGCACCATCCATGGCTCTAAAGCAAGTTGGACTAGTCGGACGTGTTTTCGGGCAGTTCAAAAGAGCACTGTTCTCATGCTTGCTATCAGCGTTCGTTCGGCCAGGCACTGAGTGCACCGATCAAGTATGGAATCCATGGTTGAACCGCGACAAGAAGGCTCTAGAACGTCCCATCGGACTACTTACAAGTAACCGTGAGTTCAATGCAAATCAAAATCTTAAAAATTAATTTAAAAAATAAATAGGAACTATCCACAAATCATCAAAAAACATTGGTCTGTGAAATATATATTTTTCTTGCCTACCTAAACATTTGCGCTGAATTACCAGACACGATATCTACATTTGATATGATACCGCGAATTTCGAACTGTTTCGTATGCCCTTAACAGAAAATGGTGATTTCTCTTCTAGATTGAAAGAGGCTCGAGCTCGTGGTGAATCGCCCGGTTTGGACGAGATTGATGCTCAAAAGCGTCTGGTTTCTGAGTTACGGGCTCGATTAGATTCTCTTCAGCGTGAGGCAGATGAGAAGGCCACACAGCTACTGGAGCTTCGTGAGGAGTTAGGGGAACTGCGTACCGGTCGATACAAGCACGAAGCTGAAGTGAGCCAATTACAAGCTCAACTAAATCAACGTGCATCCGAAATGGCCACTCTCCAAATGGAAAAGCAGATGGTAAGAAAGTCTTACAATCTTCCCTTATCTCTGTTTAAGATGTTAGCAAAATTCGGACTAAGTGTTGAGTTTACAAGCATTAATTGGGTGAACTCAAGAAACCTTCGCATTAATTAGGGCTAGCAGTAATCAAACCGAAAAACAACTTGGACAACACAATCAGTGGTTTCACTCCGTTTCTATTTATGTCAGCATTCACCAGTGATTTTTTAGTAAAAGTGAAACGAAAATGACATTTCTACTCCTGGAAGTTGACAGGCTCAATTCGATTGATGGATGCTGATATCTGATCTTCTACGTTTAGCAAACCGACCATATCCTGATCTGGGGATTAGGCAAGAGTGAAGTTGTTACACTGATAGTCACGTGACCCTTTCGTTTTGGTGTAAAAGAAAGCAGTTTCACTAGATGCTTTCAGTTGCGGATTGGACAAAAGGAAGGTGCATAGAATTTTAGATTCAAACCGACTAGCGTTGGCTTAGCATGCACCCATCACACGCCTAATCCCGAACAAAGAAACGTTAACATAACGTGAAACTGCAAGACAATAAATAGATTTACATGTGTTTCCGCAGCTATGCACCTCAAACAGTTTCATTTGAGAGATTGCATTGTAAATCTCTATTTATCAATTCGTTTGGTGATAGAGCAGTCTTGTGTGATGACCAGCAAATAGACTTCGACAACTATTTTACCATCGCTAGCCATATAATTATCAGCGCTGAACACAAATTTATTTGCTGCCGTGAGCCTTTTCTTTTTTCTTTTTCACTTTACTTCCTTTTATTGAATATACAAAGATACAACAATTTTTCAGGAAGGGGGTAGCGGCCAATCAGAGGGCTGCCGTTCAACACACAAAGAGGAAAGTCAGGCGATGGTGGTGGGGTTCGAACACACATCCTCGGGGTGATAATTTGGTGACGTTATCGCCGGGCCACCACCGCCTGGTGGTTCAGAGTTGAAATCCTAACAGGTGACCTACACAATACACTGCAGTCGTTGCTGATACAAGCAAATATCTTCGTTCAAAGTAAACAGAGCAAAACTATTTTGCTTTGTAATCCACGTACACTTTTCATTCCCAACCACTTCACCACCAACCATTTAGCACGTTTGAATTGCGTAAAGTTCGGTAGCCTCGGGGGGATTCGAACCAGCACAAGGAAGTCCCTAGACGTTTGTACAGCGCACGCCTTACCTGCTGAATTAAGAGGCCACATCGACAGCACTGATTTTTCACATTTGAATCACCGATTAAACTTACAGAGGCATATCGCATCCACTAGTTAACATGTAAGCTGAACACCACAACAGGTTTTCCTTACAATCCCCAAAATCTACTGAGTGAACTTCTTAGGAAGGGTTAATTGTTCAAATTGTGTTATTTCGCAGATTTGACTAAAGTTTTCACAATTCAAACACAACACTTAAATCTATCAAGCAACACAATGTGAACTGTTCATTGGTGATTGCTATGTTACCTACAGAATATTTTCAAGGTTCAATTTTCATATGATACTGATGAGAAATGGACAGCCTTCCATTGACCGTCAGATATATTCAATAGTATTAGCTCTGCATTACTTGACAACTCAGTGTTTCTCGTGATGGCTATAGGAGTGGCTTTGGGAGTCCCTCCAGAGCATAACAAACATGAACGTGGACTAGAAGCAGTCGTAGGAAACCCGTAACACAGTCGAGAGTGATAAATCCGTTTGCTTCATGTATTACACTTGCATTAGAGGATGTGTGTCCAGTTCATCAACTCTAACGGGTGAGACTCTCAATGGTAATAGTTAGTTCAAATTTGAATCAATCTGTTGTCCTGATTTAGGCTTCGAGTGTGTTCACTTCTGCTGATTTCCCTGCCTTTAACTCCTGCTCATGATGGCAGTATAAAGCGTACAATCACAATTATGCGTGGGGAATACCCAGCCGGACATTCACCGTACAAAGATAATCCCCGTAGTTGGAAAATTTGACTACTTGTCCCCCACCCAGACAGTAGTGTCTGGTGTTGTATATAGTTGCCTGTGAGAACTAAAATCGAGAATGAGAATCTCTGTAAATCAGAAGGATAATAAGATGCTAAATGTCTGGGACAACTCGTTCCATGCCACCGAACAGGTTCATATCAAGTGCCTGGGCACAACAAATACTCACCTAGTACATCAGAATAACAGATTCTTTGTCGTGACTTCTTTTGAATCTGAGAGTGTCAATGGTACTTTTGGAAAGAGTGGCGATTAATCGTGTCAGGAGCAATCCTAAATTCACAGCTGCATCTTTTGTCAGCAACGATTATTTAAATTTATCACTGGTCTGTGGTAACAGAAAAGAAACGGTGGTCAAGGTCATCGAAATAGCCACCCGGACGGTCCCGAGTTCAAAACCGCCGTCACTACTGCCGCCCTCGTTCCGTAATTGTATGTTTCACCAAGTAGCTCTGTTTTGACCACGACTCCCTTCCTGAAAGCTTATTGTACATTTGTGTGTTCGGCAAACCAAAAAAATAATATTTTTACCCTCTACACGGTGAATTCTTGGATTATCCCATTCGGTTTTTCACAGACACGAGGCACTGTCGATGATGTTGGGTGTGGGTTTCAATCCCTGGGACATTGTTAATTAGCTAATAGTTGAATGCATTTAAATACGATGGAAATGTATGTGATAAATGACAAAGAGGACTTGACAGCTGTTCCGTCTTGTTTAGGACTCTTCAGCAGTGCTACTTTTTGTGTCCCTGTCAGGACTCAAACCGCAAACCTTCGGGCTGGGACTTCAAACCCTTAACACTGAGCTACACGGTCGACGGTAAATGGTAGGGGTTTGAAGTCTCAACTCGAAAGTTCGCGGTTCGAGTCTTGACAGGGACACAAAATGTACGCACTGCTGACGAGTCCCAAACAGGACGAAACAGCTGTCAAGTGCCCTTTGTCTATTATCACAAACATTTTTATGGCATATTTATATTCTATTTTTATTTTTCAGTTTACACGGTACTGGCAATAATCATGTATTGTGGTGTATCATTGATGCCAATGATAATTAAACGGTGTAAGGAATTTCATCGAGGAAGTGGTAAGCAGAACTGAACGGAAGACCTAGAGATTACTGAACAGTTGTTTCAATCATATTCATCCATGTTCCTTCTCATCATCTGAGCTGATTCATCGAACCAACTGCTAGTTGACTACCCGAGACCGCATAGACAGAAAAACTGAGCAGTTGATCGGATTGTTTCACTTGGATCATGCGATACAACCCGTAGTCGTAAGTTCGGTTGGACTTCAGTCAACCCAGTGCTGAATTCCGAGAGATGTTTTGGGCTGGGTTGGAAACATTGCCAACTCGAATGGTTCTTGTACAAATGTTACTTATTGATGAACCGGGTACTGCTTGTGTCAACATTTTAACTTCCAGCCAACCACTTAAAATGTGCTTTTTAAACTTCTATATTACTTCGAATGCGAGCACAAGAGCACAAGCGTTTGTGAGCGCAAGATGCTTCCCATTTGATATTCATTGTTCCAGTAACTAGTTATTGTAAACTGAACCAAGGATATAGTAACTTTGTGATCTGCCTGCTGAATAAGACAGTTGTCCACGGCTATTACAACTGGCCAATTCATAGAAATACATGCAAATTACCATAGTTTCCACTACAAATCACCATATTCTGATGCAGGTGGATGAAATAGATGGAGGCAGGATTATAGGCTCCACATGATGTGATTTGTTCAATAAGCATGTCATGAAGATGACCAATGAGCTCTCCGTGTGTTTTTCGTACCACTGGCATACGTTTATGTCGTGTATGGCAATTATCCATTATCCGATAATGAACACCGCATTATCATGCACTCAATTGCCTAAACCACTGTTGATTTTTTCAGTAAGTAGCACTTGTTAGCTGATCGACACTCAACACCGTTTGTATATGGCACACAATCTGGTGTTAGATGACCTAATCTCAGCACCATCTGATGAATTATTTCGGTTCCTTTCCCTCCCCCCGCCACTCCCTCGCTTATGTTCGGCATTGCCAAAAATCTTTTCCCGGATTCGCTCGTTCCGTTCGTTCTCTCGCTTGCGCTCTCTGATTCGCTCGCTTTCGCGCATAGCAACACAAACAAATCTCTTCGGAATACGAGTTGAAATACGGTCAACGTATCAGCGAATTGGAAACCCAAGTCACGCACTATATGGAAAGTGCTTCGAAACTCCAATCCGAAATTGATCGTCTACTTCGAACGCTGGATAATGAAAAGTTTGAAAAGGAGAAACAAATGCATGAATTGCAGGAGTGAGTTATCGATACTTGTTCCGGATTGTGATTGCACCTAGTCATTTTATCCCTCATCCCTCTGAGTAAACAGTTTATACTCAATGGCAATGCTAACGAATGGTCATTCTCTTGGAGAAACGACGCACTGCAGATCATACAGTTGTTTTGGTATGGCTTTGGGCTAATAAATAGATGGCTTCCCTAAGTTGTTTGACTATAATGAATCAGTAATCTGGGCGCTTATTGCAAGTAGGCGACTTTACTGAAAATATGTGGTTACAGCACGTCTATCCGACGACGGTTGCTTCAGGTTTCCCGACTTCAGTTCTCATTCACTTCATACGGCTTACGTGAATAAAGTTTATTCAAGGTGTACTGTGTCCAATGGGTTTTTATAAGAAACTAAACCTTCCCTGAGAAGCCAAGTGAACCCTTATCGAAACTTCGATGAGTTTAATGGTCCGTCGATGCACATAAACTATGCAATAAACCGGCGCCCCCCGCGTCAAGGAAAGTTGGATCTATTTTGTTATAATTATTGCAGTTGGTAGTGTCTGACAAGTATTGTTATCCTACTCAGCTTGTTTTGGTATAGTAAATAAGCAGGGCAGAACATGTCCCTAGGCTAGTCGGAGTATTGTGAGATGCTTGGCTCGTGTGCGCGGAAGGATGTCCCCCGTGAACGAATACACCAGACATTCACAAGTGGGCCGAGTCTAGGTGTGGGCTGGAACTGTCGACAGACAGGTTGTTCTCTGTGGAGAGGGCGAACCGACAATCTGAAATAGAGGAAAATGCAGACACCATAAACCAAAAGGTCCAGTGAGACATGAACACAACTCACACTCAAAAGGAATGGCAATTTGCCAAGGTCGTTAAAGCATGGCTTCCCAGTTCCGCTTTAGCCGTATTCGACTTATCACACTCATTGCTCACAAACAGATGTCATTGCTTGAGTTTGTGCACACATGTTCAAACATCTTATCACTAAATTTGCTCGCATTATCACTCTTAGGGGGGCCAACGGATTAGTCAAGAATTGGTAGTTACTGTGCAAAAAACAACTTCGACCACACATTTTTTGTGCTTCCTCCACTCAACCACTTAGCTCTAATTCGTTCACCCCCTTCCCGCCCCGCCATTCCGATCGTGTACAGGGAATTGCGTGAGGCTCAGAATAATCTATCTAACTTGAAGCGTTCACAACAGACTGAACGAAAGAAACAAACCCAACTGCTCGAGGAGGCTAGGCAACGCGAGGACAATGCACATTCGGATGTGGAAATTCTGAAAGTAAGTCAGACCCCTTGTGATTGTAATGATTGTCGCAAATTTTCTCGGCGATTGAAAACGCGCGCGCGCACGCAGGCACACATTCACTCACTCACTTCTGATTGTTTGTATGTGACGCATACCCTCTTCCCTGGGGGGTCCCTCTCTGATCACCCACTCAGTCAGTTAACCCTTTTGCTCTTGTTCATGAATGTCCTTCTAACTCTGGTATGCGATAATCAAACAAAAATGTCTTAAAAGTTACGAACAGATATTTTCATTCGATTGCGATACTTATCGCTGTTGTTATGCTCTCTACGAAGCTGTACACCGATTTTAATCATTGTATCGAAAAGTGAATTAAGGGACATGCATCGAAGTGGAATAGCGGAGCCAAATGAAAACTCAGTTCGTCTGTCTGTCTGTCTGTCTGTTTGCATGCGTGTATTCATGTGTAGATATATACATTTGTATATGTATGCATACATGTACTCACAAATACGGATCTAGTTAAAACAAACTGGAGATTAAGTTTAAGTTCCAAATGTAGAACACTGGAACCTCACAGTGCTTGTTACGATCATGCTTGCAGACATACCGACAGACATGCGACTGAATTTGTCCTCGCATACAATCAATAAATGTGGGGATTTAATTCCGAAACATCGCTCGTTTACTACTCAAAATGTTAACCATGAGACAAGAATTGTAAGATCATATCATTATCAGCAAATGGTATTTGTTTACAACCGAACACGTCACTTCATTTGCGTTGGGTGAACTACGCGGAGGTCAATAATCTGCTAATTTTCCGTGGCTCTTTATTGCGTTATTCAGCATCTTACACATCGAGTCCGCCAAGTTAGTGATTTTAAGTTTGAATATTCAGTGTTTCATTACGTTGAGATCAATACCACCAGACGAACATTGTGTCCCCATTTGTGATTTGTTTTCATTCCACAATATTACCCGTACGGGACTGCACCCCGGAAAATCAAGGAGGTTTGTTTTTTTAATTTCTTTGTGAACGAAATTAAACGCTTTGAAAATTTCGAAACAAATGACATGTAAAACAACACCTAACTACGATTCCCTAAACAGAGTAAAATTTGAAAATTTGTTAGATCTATCACAATTGCATCTGCAGTGGTGGTCCTCGTAGAATAAATATTATATATGAACCAATATATATGTAAATGCATTCGTATGGGTATGTGTGTTCAGTTATTGATCATACTCGTGCCATGTGGTGACTTCCTAATGCTTCGTAATGCCTAGCAATTCGAGCCCCTTTTGCAAGAATAGATACGGTATTAACTCACACCAGACAAAATATTTGTCATACTCTCTACTCACATTTGCCTTAGAAATGTACGATTTCGTTGACGACTGGTGACGCATTAGTTGCAGGGGAACCAAAAACTGTTCGAAAACACATGCGAATTTATCAATGAAAAAATGTATATGCATGACAGAGATGTTATTTGATTTTTTCAAATAGTCTTTATGTCATCTTTGTTCTTGAGCCTTTGAGCCTGTCGTTTAGATACGCAGTTTATCAACTGGGCAATTAAATCGCACTCATCATTTTCCTCCAGTGGGTTCCGCGACCTGACCGCTAAAAACTGCTTTCGGGATATCTAACTTATCCATCTTTTCTAATTCAATTCAAGTATACCTCTCAACAGAGGGAAATTTTTCTAATTATATTGTCAATTTGTAACTAAAAGAATTCGATTTTCTGACTTCTCAATTCACGGGCGTTTAAATGTGAGAAAATAATATGCATTAAAGTCTAAAACGTTCTATGATAAACCTCGCTTGAGATATGACGAGGAGCGTTTCTTGAAAAAGTATGTGGTTTTTCTCATACGTTACGAGAGTGGTAGCCAATGGAAACCTGTTTAATCAGTGCAACAAACTATACCCTATCCAGGGTGCAATGTAAAGGAACCAACGGCCAGGTACTGAGCATACGTATGTATGCACATGCGCATACGCATGTATGTATGTATGTATGCATCCTTGATTATAACTTTATTTCTCCTTCAACTTTAACTTTATTTCTCCTCTGCATATATACAATGTCCCACCATACTACTCATAATGCTACGATAGGTTAAATAGACGGTTGTGCCGGTCCGTATGAGCTGTATCCCAGCACTCTGTAAAGGAGATATACGAAGTTACTACTCGTTCTATGGTTCGTTCTCTTTGAATTTTCTATATATGCATACGAAATATTAAAATCCGTAAACCAATCTTTACATTTTTCCAAAATAAGGCAAACGATGAGAAACATGAGGCTATGTCGAATTGACCAACTTCACTTTGGTGTTTCTCTACCTTTTCCACGGAACTAAAACTCATAGTCTTGTCAATTTAAGAAGAAGAGAGAAGCAATGTAGTGCTTTGTTCTTAATGCTGACAAGCGTGTTTTTTAATATGTTTGTCTCGTTGATGGGGATAAAACGTTTTTTTCGGGAAATGAAAAATCCAGTTGTGTATTATCACCATGTTATAGGCATAGCTAAAGCCTGGAGAAGTACCATTATACGGTTGTTTTTATATCGCCAAGAATTTTTAAGGTTCCAAGCTCGGTTGAATTAACTATATGAAGCATGGATGAACAAACGCGATCTCCAGTGATGTGCTCGTGAACCGAATTGTTCGAGCCGGCCCCCGTAGTCTGGTGGTATTACCTGAGACTCCCAAACCAAATTGCCTCGATTCCAGTAACCAGTAACCACAAGATCGCGGTCTATGGGTACTGAGTATTTTTTCAAATTAGACAGGTGAAATAACTGTTTACTGTGCTCCCCAGTCTTTTCAATGTTGTTTGCCACGTGAAATGTCCTGTAACTTATCACCACGTCATCCTCCGCACTCACTGACTCAACGCAACGGTTATGAGGAATAACGAATCTGATGTCTGCCTCAGTAGGTTCGTGATTGCTCAAAACCAATCAGGTGCAAAAGCAAGCTCAAGGGTTTTGACGAATACAAATCAACGCAAATATACCTAATCGGTACAAAAGGCTGCGACGAAGCAGCCGCATTACTCCAAATCACTCATAATCGCAAAGAACGAATAAATAATTGGAAAATAGTAGCCGAGCCTTGACGGATACTGAGCACAACCTTTTCAGACTCCCTTGAACATCTCAAACCATTAAGCGGAATTTCGATTGAACAAATCACTTTCAAATGTCAGTCGTTTTCCGACCAATGCATTTTCTATCGCTTACAGATGTTAAGTCAAGGATAGATGATCGGCGGTCTATGCACTGATTGGCCACTCTACCGATTAAAATTTGATTGGTTGACACGCTTCGCTCAAATTTTATAATAATGATTATAGTCAAACTTAGTCGGTCAATTCTCTGGACTATGATCCAGTATGTCACTAGACTGAGACAGTTTAGCTCGCCACGAGTAGTCGAAACTAAATGGAGTTTTCAATTAATTGTTTTCATCTAATATTTCAATAGAACTTGTCATTTTTCTCACTAAAAGCTATCAAGAAAATTCGGTTTGAATAATTTCTTACAATTTATTCGTCATCTCGTTGGTATGTATAATCTCATTAGCATATAAAATTTGACGGTTGATTTTTTCATGATCAACCATAACGGTTCTGTTCACAGCGCATTTGAGAATATCCTAATCAATAAATATACAAAATCATTCCGACTCAATTCTGACCTGGAGATTTTCAGACAGTTCTTCAACAGCCGAAATAATCTTTTTCATTGTGCAAAAATGTATTAATATACGACTACTGAACCGTAGACTAATCTATAATTTTTCCACTATTCAGGGTATCATGTCTGAGAAAGATTCACGTATTCGTGAGCTGGAACAGGCACTACGAGAAAGTGTCCGACTGACCGCGGAACGTGAGATTTACGCTTCCGGACGAGATGATGAAACCCGACATTTGGAACAACAGGTCTGTAACTCGTTTGTAACATAAAGATCTGAATGTACGATGAACTCGATAAATATTTTAGTGACCAATTTGTATATCAATCAATCAGTGCGTTCATCGATTGAATGAATTAATGAATAATTGATTGATTGATTAATTGAGTGAATGAATGGTTGATTGATTGATTCATTCATTCATTCATTCATTGAATAATTGATTGATATTTTTAGGTAATTTTTTCGTTCCACTTCCGATAGCAGCTTTGTTGACTGAAATTGTGGTCAGACAGAAGCTAAAAGAAAGGGCCCGGAAAACGAAAAATATTTCTACCAGTTCTTTCCGTCCAAATGAATAAAGTGATATGCAAAAGTGAATCGGCATATGTTTCAAAGACTTGTGCATTTTATACACAAATGCTCCATAACAGATGATTGAAGACTAAATATTATTTGATAGCTGTTCATTTATACTTTTACGAAAATATTTAATTTAAATTTTTTATTTATCTAGTACTCAGACGCAGATAGCAAAGAGAAAGTTTGTTCTTCCTATCGTCTGAGAAGTTTGTTTTATCAGTTCAGATAAGTATGGCAGGTGATTTTTGTCTGAATAATTTTAAAACGACCCAAGTGGATAGTTATGTTATTGCTTGAGGTAAACAACTTGAAAAACTAGCGTTGGATTAATATATCCTCGATTAAAAACAAGGATCTGTCTGGATTTTATGGTATCTAATGAGATGCAAAAGTAAATTGGCTCTCGGTCTGAAATATTTCCATTTTTATAACAATCCATTTACCCTATGAGTTTCACATATCTTCCTCCCAGCATCCCCGTCACATGGCCTTTGGTTATTTTCATCTGCCAGTTAATTTACCTGCCACTAACGAGTGAGGCAGTTAGCCTCGATTTCCTTTGCAAAATAATGCATATCAATAATACTCTGTCCTATTATCTCAAAGTGAAGTTCGAATTGTTGTATATTTCGTACATTCATGTTTTGCTCACAGTTGCGTGAAATGCGAACAAATGTGGAACAATTACAACGCGAGCGAAACAATTTATCCGCGCAAATGGCCACCGTCCAGGAGGAGCTGAGTGATCGCGAGAACCAACTGAAAACACTGGAACAGGAATGTGTACGTTTATTGTTATATGAAATGTATCGTTTATTCTGACATATAGGTCACTCAGTTTTTTTGTTTGTTGATTATTATATTGAAATACGATGTCTAAAAGAATAACTTGATTGTAATTGTCACAACCTTACGGTTTTCAGTTCCAGAATTATCTTCCGGAATTGGAGAAATTGCGTCGCGCAAATCACGAGGCTAATTTGCGTGTGGCTGCCATGGTAAAACTGACTCAGGGACGGGAACACACGCTGACCGATCAGGATCGAACTGCAGTGAGTTCGAAATTCGTCGATTTTGTTTACTTTGTGATATGATCGCTGTTTTCTTTTGTCTAGGAAGGTCCGTCTGTTTACTTTTCAATGCAGTTGGCACCGGAAAAAAGTCGGTTGTAATGCGTATAATACCAACTCCTCCTGATTCGATAGGATGAAATTTGCGGCGTTTTACTTAGTATGGTATCTGGGTTCGGACACTTGATCATCGACACATTAGATGACAAAGTGCTAGTTTATTGTGACTGCGGGCTGATTTTTCCTAAGAAAAAGCTACTTGATTCTTACTTTAGTTAATTCCTTCGAAAACAAAAAATGGTAAACAATCATATAATTCAGGGTCCACCAGTTTATGTAAATAATGTAACTACTATAATCCTACTAAGATCTGTGAAATGCTGATCGTTTGAATTTCAGTAGACCCAATTTACATCCCGACTAACTGGGGAATGTGTAGGTACACCGTTTACTCACCGTCAATCCATTACAATTACAAAATTCCTTCAATTTGAAATTCATTACATATGTGAAATGAGAAACTTACCTATCAATTTTGATCCTATTTGAGGGACGATGAGCATAGACTGCTGTTCGATCAATCTATTTTATTTCCCGTAACAGGACACGATGATATGAACATTCCAATTTTAGTAAACATGCGTGTAATTTTGAAGCATAAATTAAAAAAAGAATAAATTTACTTTTGGGGAGTTTCTCCAAATACGTGGACATTTTCAGTTTAATGGCAGGTTTTATATTGGGGAATTTTGGTTACACTTTTAAGCGGTAAAACTGAAATGGTATTTTAGCCTGTGAATTTAATAATGTATGCATGCAACAAACAAATCGAGGTATGGCTTTTTTGGGGGCCTGATAGATATTATTTTTTGATAACACTGACCAAATCAGGAACGACAAAATGAGCGAAACTTGTTTTGCCTCTTACAGTAAGCTACTTTCCAGAGTTTATTTCTTTCTATCATTTGGCTAGTTGCGAATAGGAGAAGCTGGTCGACCTAGTCAATTAAGGAACGGTTATTTCAGCTGGTAACCAAGCGTACTGGCCCACTTCTATCCCTGTTTTATATAATTATAATCATTGGGTAAATGTAAGAACGAGAGCCTACATGAAATGATTTGTGTCCCTCTCGGTCTGTTGATGACCAGATATAAAAAGATCTTTACAACGAGTTTGACTGCATAACTCATCTTGCACAGTGCATGTAGTACGCAGAGATACTTCTGTTTGAGTCCAACCCAATCTGCTGATCGTCCAACTATTGTGAAGCTTTGAAAAACAAAAGCCTTGTTTTGAAATCAGTTTAGAAAGTCCATCTTCCCTTTCGATATATTAGTATGCCTCACATCCATAGGTTACTATTCACTGCATTATTAGTCAAAATCACATTACCAGGAAGTCATTTGTTTGAACCTCACCATCGCAGTCTGACTTCCTCCACTCTCCCTGTCCCTCTGTATCATACGGCACTGCTTTGATCAGCCGCCATCCTCTTCCCAAATCTGATCAGAACCATTCCTTTTGTATTCAGTGGAGCATGTGAAACAAAAAGGGAGGCATGTTAAACTCATAAGGTAGTAAAACAACAGGGAATTATCCCCTGAATTCTTATCACTGTAATCAGGAAAGAAAATAACTTGAGAGTGTTATAGAAGTGATCTTTAGTAGAAAATGTGTTATCCTCATGGTAAAGATTGCAGGGGAACAGTTAAACCATCAGTTGGTGGAATTCATACCGCAGTCTGCGATTAGCAACTCGTTATCGGGTAATATCATTACACTACATTCATTCATTCATTCATATGGAATGTTTGAGGAAACTCGAGCTCTTTTTAATAACAAAAACATTGAATGTGATCCCTCATTCAACCGGTTGACGAAAATTGGGTAGATGTGTTTGGAACTGTGTGTGCTTAATCTCTAAGCAAACCACGCACGCAAGATCTAACTGCCCAACCGATGATTTGATCATGTACAATGAACACCGTCCGACGTGTCACTGGGGAATGCATCTATTAGCATGGAAACCAGGAAGTCTGTTGTCACATAGGCAGGTCAAAGTAACGACTGCATCCGTCTTAGACAAATGGTTTGTGAGTAACCCCGGAAATATACGTGTTGCGGCTCTGAATATGAGGCGCTAGTTGATCATTTCAACTTTGATGATACTGCAGTTCAAGTGCATCTGGATGTGCTTGCATACATATATATCTTTTTAAAACATTTATATTCTCTCTTACGGTATCTTCCATATTTGGTTCATTTTCTCCTACGAATCACGAAATCAGAAATCACAATGGTTCTTTGAGTCTTCTTACCCGCAAGCAACCATTCGTGATAACATGAACACCTGTTACAAGTGGTCTGTAGGATAAAACACAGAGCAATGATTGATTTGATTCTAGGTGATCAATCAGCTGTGCTCAAAACCAAACGAAGTGGTTAATTCACTCCGAGTGGTCGGTGACATAAAGTTGATCCCCCAATAGACAGAGACTATGCCCGGAATTCTCGCTTATTTTGGGTGCAGTTTTGCAACCAGTCAGCCGTTTGGAATCGTATCTTTCAGTGTAGATCAATCAACCTGCATCGCGGTTGACGCGAGATTGATAGAAACAATTCAAACCCGTTTGCATTATGTTATCTAGTCGCTTTCGAACGCCTACTAGGATAAGTACCGGAATACACTGGTCTCATTTTCACAAGGACCAAATCCGATATGAAATTGAACCCGTCGGTTCAGATAGTGGAGCCTGAAGTAGAAACAAACACATTGCGTTGTAGTGAATTTGAGCGGAATGACAGAGAACCTCTAACCCTACAAAAACCGATGTACTATTGACTGATATTATCCCATTAGTAATACCATCCCCGCGAAATAGGACAATGCTGATTACTTATTTTCTAACCTGAAAACGGTCACATTTAATGCAGAGATTGAACAAGTGGGTATAATTGATGGCATCCGGGATTCAAGGGTCACAAACTTGGGAGAACCTAAAATAAATTTTAGAACCTCCTTAAAAATGTGAATTGCTGAGGCCGAGCGACAAATGAAATCACACTCTTAACCATTTTTCTTCGCATATGCTTTCCAGCTTTCGGGTATTCCGTTGTTCCCCAATCTGGCAACTACTGGGGGATGGTCTGCCACAGGCATGGGTGGCCCTGCTCCTTCACGTCTGATGACCGGAAGCAGTGGCTATTTGGGTGCTTATCACTCGGGCGGAGCGACATCACCACATTTGGTCGGAAGTGCGTTCCAACTGATTGGAAATTCAGCCACTGCATTGGCTACCGCTACCGGTGGACGAGCCTCAGTTCCGGGACAGCCGATCGCGAGTCCGGATGTGGTCATGTTGACAAGAATGTTACAGGATAAAGAAAGTATGGTAAGAGCAGTGTGCTATTAGAGGTGATTGTTCTTGTACGACAAGATTCGTGGGTTAAAAATGGCATCCTTGCTCATTGTGAGCGTATATGGTGCAGTTTTAAGTCTGTTTTGTGGCGAACATCGAAAAAAATGAATAAAGTCCAAAAGCTTAATCAAGCTAGTGACGGCAAAGTACAACACGAACCACTTAAAGAAATTAATTCAGAAAACATAGGGGTAAAGTAATCGCATAATTTTAACTTATTACAAGAGGAAGAGAACGTGCATCAATGCGGATTACCCTGCCATTCGAAACACATTTTCTCTAGAAATTGAAATTATAATTCCATTTTCGGTGAACAACCTTGGTTCTGCTAACCCAACTAACAATTTCTGCACATTTATATTGATAAAAACATCCGGAAATTGAAAGAGTAAAACAATATCAGGGAGCAAAACCAACGATGCCATTTGATTAAGCAGAAAAGCTCATCAGATTTATTTGGAGTTTTTGTGTCTAGTCATGAATTGAATCAGCTAGTAATTGTTCTAGCCTGGAGAACTTAGCCCACGCTAACACTGATTCGTGATACAGGGCAGGAGGTTGACTTTTGGCACACGATCCGAGTTTGTGGTGTCAATTGCACTGTCAGAATGCCGCTAACAAAACCTTGTTTGGGATGCGGAACCAACTGGTAAATGCGGCTCAGTACAGACTCTCACGATGCACAGGTAGAACACACTTCGGACAACAGGTTCTCTGTGGAAGGGGGATTTCCAAACAAAACAACTTGCAAGACGGAAAATACAAAACAACCATGAACCAATAGGTCCGTGCGAGACATGCACACGACTCAAAATCAATCTAAAATGGCGGTGACGTGCTCAACTTGCCTAGCGTTACAATTGTGCCCGGTCGATAAGCCCCCTTTGACAACAAACGCCCCATTCATTAAAAGGCATTTTTATTAAGGTTTCAATATTCAAAAAGGTGAGAAATGTGTCACGGCTATATCAGTATCATTTTTTCCCTAGACAGCACGACGCGTTTTACGTGGAATGATGAATGAGGCAGAGTGCTTGTCAGTAATTATAAAGTTCAATTTAAATACTCCCCATTAGTTGGCCTACTACTGGTACGAAATTCCAGACTGATTGCAACTCTCGCTGAAATTCGTGAAACTTTTCGGGGGTAGCTATTTGACCATTCTGAAACTCATACTGCGACAAACGATGCTGTTCAACCGCGTCTAACTTGTTATTTTATTCCTGTTGGTCTTCATTACTGTTCGTTCCTCCACGTTTCTTTAGATACCTAATACTGCATTCTCTACGGTTTTCTCAACACATACCTAGCGAAATCGGCACGAGATTTGTAAACACCCGTTTTGAAAAGAGTTTATTTGAAGTTAGAACCTCCCTACATCCTCCCCAACTTTTTCTCGGCTAATATGTGCACACACTAGTGATCCGGCAGTAACGCGACTTGAGCCACAATTCATTCCACAATAATGGAACCTCCATAGCAAGGCAAAATACCTTTGTTTGGAGGTCCTGGCGGTCCTCCATACTCGTCAGACGTTATTCTGAACAATGACTCTATCAGATAATGTCAAAAGCAACGTTTGTTCGTTCATGTGTTCCAGTGTGGTCAAAGTGGAATTGATGGGACTTCCCACCCCTGATACGCTGTCCTCTCCAAACCACCGCTTAGACACAGGTAAAATCATTATTGTGTACTCTCTATCAGAGTGATATTCACTCTTATTCTTTCGAAATCTGAAAATCTTGATAAATCATCTGCGGAGATAAACGGAATTGTGTAGATGTTCTCAGTACCGGTTCACGGAGTATGTGCATCCAGAACAGGAACAGAAAAGTGAAGTCCAAGATATTTCGCAATTCCTCACAAGCGGGGATTTCGGTGCATCGCCGATATCAAATCACTGATAGGCTGAAATCACACGGCACTCAGAGGTTGAGAGTTGCTACAGATAACGCGCTGTCCATGATGAGAATAGTTCAGTTTAGATTTCATTCCATATAGCCAGCGTTTCGCATGTTTTGGCAAACCTTGTACAACTCGGTTCGTCGGACTGGTCTACCATGTAACTCCTGATACTAAAGCATGTTGGACTGATGACCATGAAAACTGGCTCTGTTTTGTTATGTTTTGCATCTATCAATCTGATTTTTATGTCTTACAAAACTGTTCTATAGGGCACAGTTTGAACCCATTATTTACGTTATTTGCACTCGACGTAAGTTTGATTAAAGCAATGTAAAATTAAATAGTGTTCCACTTCAGATGCGACGGAAATGTTTGAGATAACCGAAAAAGAGCACTGGGCAGGTGTTTCATCCTGTTTTAGACTCGTCCGCAGTGCGTGCGTTTTATGTCCCTATCAGGACTCGAACCGCGAGTGGGCAATTGACGATCTTCCAAGGAGTAAAACCCACATCGAAGACCTTCAAGAGTGCCTCGTGCCTATGAATGATCGAATGGGCTAATCCAAGCCTGATACTCTAAATTGTTCCACTTCTTTCTATTTGCCGCGTGTAAAACGGTACGGACGATTGTGAGGAAACAGTATATGTAGCTGATGAAAATAGTTCCTGGACTGGAATCCTGAAAGGGATTCCTGTGCGGTATGGGCGAGATGCGAACAAAATTCTCCCAGGTTAAAGTGTTGATGAAGTACACTGCGTGAACAACAGTATTCAAAGGTAATAGATGTGAGACACAATCTTGCTGATTTAAGAGATGAACTAACACTAAAAGTGTAATACACCGGTTAAACTAAGATTGTCGATGACCATCCAGTTTGGTTAGAGCTTCTGAACGTGTTTGCTTGTGCGTATATGCTTGCTTACGTTTATATGGGCTATAAGTTTGAACACATCGTATTTCTAAGTCAGGTGGTGATGGCCCGGTGGTCATTTCACCAAATTATCACCCCGGAGTACTCGTGTTCGAATCCCACTGCCACCACCTGACCTTCCTCATTGTATGTTGCATGGTACCCGCTTGATTGGCAGCCTTCCTCCTCCTGAAAATCATATCAGTATACATTCAATAAAAGAAAGTTAAAATGAAAAAATTAACAGAAGCTACTTTGCCTTCCCTAGCCTAATTATGTTATATTATTGGACCGATTAGATCAAACATCTTTCTAGAGATGAGTGACAACCGTTGACAATTACCTCGGAATAGGTATTCCGCAAAACTTAAATGTAATTATGTTATCATATTAGGATAATGTTTTGCATGGTAGTCGGGCAAATATACCTACACTGTCGTGAAAAGACTGGGTACCGCAGTGCAATTTGATTCCACGCACGTACGCCGATGACACTTCCATTCTGTGTTCATTCCATCAGTTGAGCTAAGAGATTACCTCTCACAGTGTGAACTTTGTACGTTCCGTTACACAATCAACGGACAGAAGCAAACGGACGCACTTGGTAGCATGTATGGAATTGTAAGTTATACAAAGAAGCAAATGATGCCTACGTATGGGTTTGAGTCCCAACGAGACTCCTGATCTTTTCCAAGTCACACAATATTAAGAAATGCTGTATACACCCAAATGGGACATGTTAATTCCACTGGGATTAGAAGCCTGAAAACACAAAACTCCATTCTCCTCTTATTCATCAGGCTCACAATGGTTGGTAGCCGATAGTGAAAAGTTTCTTCACCAGCCGTCTAAAAGTCCCACTTTTGCCCCAAACTGGTTCATAAACTTCACTTCTTGACAACAGACACTGAAATGACCACATTGAATGAGGCAGCTAGCGAAAACGTACAAGTTAGTCATACGGGCAGAGTTCCCCCGTGTCCCGCTCCTCATCTCATGTGTCTTGTCCTAAATAAGGAATCTGTTTGACTTGTTCATTTAACTGAAGCAAGAACTCTGGATCACCCGAGTACCGCAAATCACAGTGTCATCGATGCGAAACCGGAGTGAAGTTTTGTCCTCATTTGCACCAGCAGAAGGAAGTGGCGGTCACAATTGATGCGATAAATGGTTTCAAAAACATGCCCTTCCAGATCTTGACAAAGTGAACATAGATTAAAATGCATCAGATTCCTCACCAATGAGAAAAACCGATCTGTGCAAATAAAACCATTCCAACGGTTTTTTGCCAGCTCTGATGGAATGCGGATCCGTGCGGTTTGTCAAAAGGGCAATGTTGCCTATGCAAATCAACCCCGTGAATCAATTCGACAATAGAAGGAGGTAAGGTCTTGTTTAAGCGAATGATATTCCGGCTGATTTGAGTTTGATGTTTCCAGCCAGCAATACTTGCTATAATGAGTAGTATGTGAATGACTGAACAAACTTTCACGGAAGCACATAACCGGTTTTGTGGTCCTTACCACTCGTCAGGTAATCGTATCCGGTAATATTCCGTCTGCTATTCTTATACTTGAACACCCGATATGAATTATGTAATCCAAACCTCATTTGCAGTTCCGGCAGTGGATTTGAGACGAATAAGTGATTGTGATAATTCTGTACCAAGGACCGCAAAACCAATCGTGTGCTTCTGGGAACATTCATTTAGTCATTCATATACTACTCATTGTGATATCCAAATCAATCATCGTCCGGAATCTAATGTGAAATGGTATGAGCCTAATAAGAAGACTATCTGGCTGACTGTAAATGAGTTTGGTTTTATGTTATATTCTACACTTCAGATTGAAATCGACTCTCACGTTTGCTTCTCAGTATGAAGCCAAATCAGCGATTATGCTCCTGTTACTAATCTCAATTTAGATTAGGAAATCGGTGAATTTACTCAAGATAAAAACTATGTTTGCTGAAGAATTGTCCCTCCCCATTCCATCAACACCAGCACTCAATCACTCTATTCGCTCATTCGAACCAAGACTCAGAAGCGGTCTGTTTACGCACATTATCATTTCCGATTGGTTGATAGCTAGAACCATAACTTTTATTTGATTTTGGCGATTTTCATCTCTGAATCGCTTTCAGTTTTGGTTTTTTTGTCTCACATCTGATTAGTCGA